TGTCCAAAAAAATAAAAGTGGGAAAAAATTTTAATTAAAAAATGTTTTAGTTTCAGGAATTCTTAAGTCAGAAGAAATAATCCAAAACTTTTGTCATCCCTTTTTGTGCACTAAAGCCTCCAGTGAGAATTCAGGGTCCCTTGGCATCAGGTCCTCATCCCCTTTTCTAGATTGACACCTCTACTTGGTCCTCTTCTGCTCGCCCATCCTCCACCCACCAGTGCTTCTGAGTCCAAAGCCTGGCAAGCCATTGTCTGCTGTCCTGCAGCACCAGGGCCCAGCCAGCCAGAGGGCAAAATGTAAAGAAAGAGACTCCAAGATCCCAAATGGGGGTAGGGAGGGTGGGAAAACAATGGCTGTTCTGAGGAAAGATTTTGTGAAATGAGAGCCCCTTGGGCAGCTCTGCTGAGGATTTGCAGGCAGCAATGAGAAAAGGCCTCAAAGTTAATGCTGTTTCAACTTTGTACCAAGTGTCTCCCACACAGTACACCCGTACATGCTGTTAAACAAATGGATGAATGGGTGATTTAATTTAATGTAGTGTCTATCACAGGGTTAAAGATTAACATGGTATAGAGCTTGGTACCTAATGCCAAGAATTAAATATAAAAAGAATCAGGATTAGTATATTGGGGAAAGGCTAAAGGATAAGCCTTTCAAGGTTTTTAAGTATATAAAGAAATGATACAGAGAAGGTGCCGGTGGGGAAAAAAGCTTAAATCAGAAGTATCTGAGCTGCAGGAAGAACTGAGGAGGCTCAGTAAAAAATCAGAAAAATGACTAAGCATGCTAGTGACTTTGCTCCCTGAAGGGTGATAAAATATAGTCTCATCCTCCATCCTGTCCCAAGCCACTTCAGGTCCTTGATGGCTCTGAGTTGATAGTTCCACAAGATGAATCAGCAACATGGAACTTCTTAACTTCTCTGAGCTACCCAAAGTATTTCCCCCTACCACAAAATCACAGCCCCTCCCTTAAGATGCCAGGACTGGTTCTGCTAGGCAAGTGGTCTTATACAGACGGTAAGATTCGCAGTTTGGAAAAGATCTCTGAACTCAGCTCTTCTCACTTGCTGCTACATGTACTCTCCTTGGCGGCACCTTTTGTTTTAGATCTACCCTCAAGATTAATCTGCTTCATATTCTATTCCCTAAGGGCCATGTATCTACCAAGGTGACAAGAGGAACCAGTGTTTCTCCTCCTAGGACGTGAGATGCTCTTATAATTCACTCAAAAGAATTAAGCTAGCCAGTCTTCTGATTTGCCCATAGGGAAGAAGGCACTGAATCTGTTTTCAACCAAGAAGCCAAGCTTACTACCTGTTGCATGATTTGCAGTGCAAATGTACAAAAATTTCCCCTTCTACACACCAAGTCCCGCAGAGAACATTTTTTTAAATAGCATTAACTGCAAGATATGCAAGATAATACTTAGCAATTAACCAGACGTTGCCAAATGTCAACTGAAAAAATCTCAAGTCCTTTGTTGAACAAACAGATGGAGTTTGCTTTTATAAAAATATGCTTGATAAAGTGGCAGCATAATGTATTAATCTGAAAAATAATACATCTGAGCAGACAAGAGCTGGGGGAAATATATCATTTTTGAACTACCGTATATTGTCATGGGACTTAATTTTTTCTGGAGGGTTATTGACCAGGCTTCTTTAGCAGTCACCTGGGACAACTAGCAGATGCGGTTTCTCAGATGAACAGCTGTAGCTTCCAGGATTGTGTCTATTTGTTTCTAGGCAGAACTCAACACTGACATTATCACACCCATTAATGTCCACTCTTGGCAACAAAACTAATGATACTTGTGCATTTTCTTAGTTTGGTATATTGGCCATTGTGTAACTCATTTGGTGAGTATGACAAAGGAAAATGATGGAGGCACTTAAGTACAACAGCAAGAAATGGTTACGTTGCCTAGGAGAATTGGTTAGTATATAATGTTGTCAATCATGTTCAGCAATCTTAGAATCCTCACCTACCTAGCACTATGTGTGGGATGTTATTCCCTGACGGAAGTTATTTAATGAAGAATAATGGACTTAGGCATAATGATTGATGTATCATTGCCTGTGGGGACTGTTTTGAATAAATAAGATGGTTCACAGTTAATATTTTAAAGAAAAGAAAGAAAGATATGATAAGAATATGTCATCTCTTGAAATGAAACTAGTATGATCATGTAAGCAACTGCCTCCAACTTAAGTAGATGTTTCTGTAGAAGGTTCGATTATGTAACTAAAGACATTTAACCCCCTCCACCCATGAAGAAGATAATCTAAGAGAAATAAGAGAGTAAAGCACACCACCTCTCAGTCTGGCAGTCAGTAAATGAAAGGAGGTCCATTCCAGTCACTGACTGAATTATTGTTGGATTCCACAAGAGCCTTAAAGACCGTCTACATAAATTGTTGAACTACAGGTAGGAAGAAATCTTCAGTGTCTGGCTGCCAATGCCAAAAGCTAAAGCCAGGAGGTCTGGTGAGATAGGGTAGGGGACTAAGAGGGGCAGGAACTACCTGCGTCTTCCCAACTCTGGTTCATGTTCTTGGACAACTTGTTGTGACTCCTCCCAAGTCATGTCCCACAAGTACAACAGTGTTCAACTGTATTACAATTAGTTCTCATACCTGAGATTAGACAGAAATGACCTGTACTTCTTTTTCCCTTATCTCTGCATTCTGTACTTGATACCAAGAACTTGGAAGTCTTTATTCTGTTGGATTAATTGTATATAACCTTGAGGTATAAGAGGTCAAGATGTAGTTTTCCTGACAGTATGGATCTGTATATTCCATCTGCCTTTACCAGGAAGGTGCCTGTTTTCCTAATTGAGTTACTTTGTGGTTCAAAAGTTACTTTGTGTTTCATTAGTAGGTCTTTATATGCATACAAAAGCACATGAGCACACCTCCTTACCAACACTTGTTACTGTCTGCCATTTTTGTTAAAACCATACTAGTGAATGTAAAGTGGTATCTCATTGTGGTTTTGATTTACATTTCCCTGCAATGATGTAGAGCATCTTTTCATATTCTTCCCTTCATTTTCACCTCTCTTTTTCTCATTGAGGAATGACCGAGGCTATAGAAACAGAACTCAGCTTATGAGTTTCCAAAAGAAGAAACCATGTCTTACTCATTTTTATATTCTCAGCACCTAGCACAATACTAAGCACATGTGGATGCTAAATAAATGTTTTCTGAGTTCATAGATATATGATTGTATGAACACACAAAGCATTCTGGTTCCCTTTTTTCCCTGCCCAGATCCTTCCCAAAATTCCCTTTTTAAAAATTACTGAGGAGAGTTTGAAACCCTTGCAGTGAACTCAACAGATGAATCATGGTTTGCATGATGCAAAAGTAAACTAAGAAAAGCTGTGATATTTAAAAATATAATCCTATACATTACTAAACCTCACTTTCAAGTCATGTATCTGCCTCCCAAGAAGGAAAATTTTTCCAAATTAAAGTATGAGCAAAATAATGTCTAAGAAATTATGAAATGGATTCATTTTATTCTGTTTCCATAATGGCTTTTTTTTCTGAAAAGCAATACTTCAGTGACCTAGTTTAATAAAAGGTCTAGAAATGTCATGGTAAAATACACAGTAAGGCATCAGTCATTTCAACCTAGCTAACATTTACTGAAACCAAAAAGAGTTTACTGAGTCAAAAAAACTTTGTAAAGACTATGATAAGGAGAAAGGATTGTTACTCAGTCTCTTCCTTCTTCACATCCCAACCAATCCTGCCTCCTTTTGATTGTTTGGTCTTATGTGAAGCTGTGTGCTTCTATGGTAAACCACTGATACAGGGGAGACTGAACCTGCCCTCCTGAATCAGCATCTATGTCTGAGCATCCACTCCACAGGAAGAGGAAGGAGTAAAGACAGGAGGGAAACAGGAGGCTTCTGCTTTTGTGCTTTTTAGCATCCTTGGTCAAGGAATTTAAACTAATAAATTAATTGACCACTAAAAGAGAGAGTTATCATGGTTGGAGTTTCCTTTTTTCTTAATAAACAAAACCTCTGTCATTCCACACTACCAAGTGTTTTTGGATTGCATATCATAATATCACAAGTTTACCTAATTTTTTTAGGTGGCAAAATTCATTCTACTTAAAGTTAACTCTCTATTTTTAGAAAAAGACAGCATATTATACTGGAGGGCTGGAAGTTAAAAGACCAGGGTTTTAGTCCTGCTGGTAATTTCCAGTGTGTCCCTGAGGAAGGCCAAACCTCTGCAGGCCTGTTTCTTCACCTTACAAGTACTTCATCGTCTTTTCTCCCAGGACCTCTCCAGCTATAAAGTTTTCTGAATTTATTGCATGGTACTATGATTCCAAAGTGGATCAAATCTTTTGAAAACAGGCTTTGAAGTCAGCCTTGTAAAGAGATGTGTTATCTAGAACTCAAAGTGCTCAAATCCTGGCCTCTCTGCTTGAGTCATTGGCTCTGCAGCCTTCCTGCCATTCCCACCTGCACAGCAAGTGATCACAGCTATTTCTGTTTTTTGAGGTGGAGTTTTACTCTTGTCACCCAGGCTGGAGTACAATGACACAGAGGTCACTGCAACCTCTGCCTCCGAGGTTCAAGTGATTCTCTTGCCTCAGCTTCCTGAGTAGCTGGGACTACAGGTACCCGCCACTATACCCAGCTAATTCTTTGTATTTTTAGTAGAGACAGGGTTTCATCGTGTTGGCCAGGCTGGCCTCAAACTCTTGGCCTCAGGTAATCCCCCTGCCTCGGCTTCCCAAAGTGCTGGGATTGCAGATGTGAGCTATTTCTAAGGCATTCTGAAATCCTGGGCCTACGTTAACTCTACAAGCGTAAGATTCTTACTGCTTGGTTTCATTAAATCTTTTTTTTGTCATTATAGCTTCCTGGCAAACCAATTTTGTCTCTGGCTTTGCAACCTTAGCTATCGTGTGTCTTTGATGTTAACATATGATTTTTTAATATTCCTCCTTTTATTTCCTTCACAGGGTACATCCCCAGTTACTTAGACAAGGACGAGCTCTGTGTAGTGTGTGGTGACAAAGCCACTGGGTATCACTACCGCTGTATCACGTGTGAAGGCTGCAAGGTAATTGCCCTGGGTCCACGAGCATGGAGGTTAGCCAGGCTCCAGTCCCCTCCCAGTGCTCTTCCAGAATGCGATGTTAAGTTTAAGTTCAAATTAAAACCAAATTCTAACATCCATGGCCTGCCATCATCCAGGTGTCTGGTTGTGTTCTTCATTTTTGATGTGTTCAAGAACTGAATTTTTTTCCAAATCATAAATAACTAAATGAGAGTGATATCTGGTTTCATTACTTCTGCAAGTGTTTTTAAAACAGAAAGGAATCAATAAAAAGAAATTAATAAAACTCTTTCTTTGGGTTTAAAAAGCATAGGTCCTATTTAACATGTTGTCCTCTTGAGAAATGACTGTTTCTCCTCTTGTTTAATCTGCAATGTTGGAGGAGACTGAGTTTGCTCTACCATAGGCTTTTTTCCACTGTAGTCTATGTGAATATGCTCATTTTCAAGGGTTCCAGTAGGGAATATCTTTGAGGCTACTTGATTTGAGGCTGCTTTGATTCAGTTATGTTCTGAAATTATCCAAATTGGCTTTTTGCACAGCCTGCAGTCAATAAGTAGATTCTGGTCATCCATCAGCTAATTTTACGCTCTGCAGTCCTATCTGCAGGAAATACTTGACAAGAATATACCAGTGATCAACAGTCCTTTCACTTCCTGAAACCAGCGTAAATTGGCCTGCATACAAGACTTCATCAACAAAATTGAGATAAGGTTTCTGGAAAATATCTTTTGGTCCAACAACCTAGCCTTGAAAATAAAGTCTACCATAAAGAAAAAAGCTTGACCCAGTGCTTCATTTACTGTTTGTTCAGCTAATGTTTCATAAATAAGGAAGTATTTAAAGTCAGAGAAGGACCTTTAAAATTGTTTACTTGTTAAATACCTGGTCTTTTTTACCTTTCATTTTTAAAACTAAATTATCACAAGATATAAACCCTAAGGCAAAAATTGTATTAAAACGTATAAAACATTTCACCTCCCCTCCTCTCTCATCCACCTTAACTCTTCTCCTCTTCTTCCCCTTCTCCAACTGCCCCTCTTTGATCCTGCCCTTGCCCTATAAGGCCCAAAATCAGTGTTAGCTCAGTTTCAAATTAAAGTGTTTCCTTTTCCCTAATGAAAGATTTTCCATGCAAATTCCCTGTGTTTTATACGTGAAATTAGGAAACATTTAGGAGAAGCCTGCTAAAAATGTTGAGATAATAATTCCATTGGAAAGAGGTAATTTCTAAGGTTACAAGACTGTTTTCTGGAATGTGGTACAACATGTTCTCCTTTATCCAGACCCCTTTGATCTGGAATTTGTAGTTCTTTAACAAGGACTGGGCTAAAGGTTGCCATTACATCTAAGAAAATAATGTCTTAGGGAATTTAATGAATTAATTACAAGTCCTGCTATTTATTAAAGCCTTGCAGTCTCTTGAAATTTCACTTATATTGGCTAGATTTGAAAGTAATAAAACTATATAGCTTTAGGTACCTACTCTTATTCCAAAAGTTTGATAATTCAAACTGGCCTTTTCTCTAAATTAGCCCCAATTTATAAGACTCTCCCCACCTTAGTTGCAGCACTGAGGTCCTTCTAAACCAGTGTGTAATGGGGAATTTTGAATTCTGAGAAAAAGATTCTAATGAAAATTCCATTTAATACTTAATTCCCCAAAATGACTCTGAAGAGTGAATGTGCCTTACAGAGAACAATACATTATTAGTGATTGACTTAAACAAAGAGAGAATTGAGCCTATTAACCCATATCCCTGCCTCACATATGCCTTCAGAATGATCAAGCAATCAACTAGCCTGTGTCCCCTAGATCACAGGATGTTTAGGGCCTGAATAAGCTGAAGTTTTCTTAAAAGAAGTCGTCGTGTAGCAAAATCTAGATTTTTTTCAGACTCTATGCCTTTATCTCAGGTCAGAACCCTGTTTCTAGTGTTGCCTTTCCAGGGTAGTTGTGCAGATCACTTAATATAATGACAGAGCATCTTAGAAAAAGACAAAGGCTGGGCACAGTGGCTCACACCTGTAATCCCAGCACTTTGGGAGGCCAAGGTGGGTGGATCACGAGGTCAGGAGTTCGAGGTCAGACTGGCCAATATGGTGAAACCCTGTCTCTAAAAAAAAAGTAATAATAAAGAAAAAAAAAAAAGAAATGAGTTTTTCAAATGAAACACAGTTTTTAAGAGTGGTGAAAGATGAAAGGATTGTTTCCTGTATTGTCCATTCAAACCTGTAATTTAAAAATATTTCTACCCCATACTTGCAATGTGTATGGAGAGAATCCACTTTGCCTATTTTCACACTGAGAACAGTGAAATCTTTTGGAGATGTCTTGTCTATTGTGATATGCAAGTTTTTATGCATCTTTTGTAGAAAGGATGTTGATACTGCCCCACACCAAACTATTTTTAGAGGAAGAATCAAAGCTTTTTAACAGCTGCCTGAATACTGAACTAAAAGAGTGAGTTATCTCCTTTTCGCATTTATCAGTGCATTTTCTAAAAGTACTAAAAAATGGATACCGTTCTCAGAATGCAAAGAAACATGTCTGATATTGATATATAAAAGCAAGACCTCTTCTCACCAACACATCATCAATGAAATATATGTCCTTATTTATTCCCCAGGTATCTCTTTTGTCAACTCACCTCTAAAAGAATTTTTTTTTAATAAGTAGACTGTTTTAAATGTCTTCAAGTTCATTTCCAAGAGTTAATTTCCATTACTTTTTAGAATTAAGGGACCTGGCATCCTTATGTTTTCACAAATAAGTGGCTCCTTGTTGTACATCAAAATATGCTTTATTGTAACTTAAGGAAGGCCAACATTTCAAGAAAAAAATCAAGGAAAAAAAAAAAAAAGAAAGGCCAACATCTTTAAAAGGATTTGGTCCATGAAGTGCCCAAGAAAAGTCATCAGAAGTAGGCCACTGAAAACATGCATAGCAAATAGCAGAGCTAGGCATCTCAACTCTTTTTTGGAAATAAGCAAAGTATAAATTATTTCATTCATTCCAATAAAAAGTGCACGAGTAACTTTTTGGAGAAATGTGTGTCACACCTCATTCTCTGCTTAGCGTGGTCTTACTGGTCAATGTACTCCTTGCCCTAACCCCACCCCTGAACATGAGTCAGCCTCAGAGTATGAGGGAGACAAGGGTCTCCCCAGCTTTAGATACACTAACAATCTTCCTATCCTGGAAAGCAGTCAGCATTCTCACTGGATGTCTTGGACTTTGGTATTTCCGTCTCCAGGAAATTGTTTCCTCCAAAAGGAGACCTGCTACCCTACCCCTCTCCTCCCTGTCTGTGACATACATCTTCCTGCCAGGAATCTCTGGGTTTCTTTAGCCCCCTCCTTCGCCCTCCTTGGTCAGAGGGTAACAAAGAGAAGCGAGGTTTGCAGGGAGGCTTGTTTTTCACTCTCGTGGCGTGCTCTGACATTCATGCTTTGGCAAGATTTGCACACCCTGCACTCCCAAGAAAACATTGCTAATATCTCAAACAGCTGCCCTGTGTGTGACTGAGCGAAACTTATAACAGTATATCAACGTCACTCAAACTAATGGACTCAAGTGCTTAAGAACACAAAGCCCAAATATAATATGACAGTTTTCTGTTAGAACTTGAACAATGGAAATGATAAGAATGATAAGGGATTTGCATACACACCCCGGAATCAAATCTGCTAGTCACAGTTATTCCTGATGTTTATCCATTTTATTCTGCTTTGCCCAGTATAAAATCCTACCTTGGACCTTTTCATAATAAGAAAGAGCTTTCGTGTCTGAGGGAGGAATATGCAATAGGGAATATGTACATAATCAAAGCCAAAGAACATTAAGCAGGATGATAAAAATTTGGGCTGAATCTAGGTCAACTGATATCTCAGTCCCACCATTTGTATAACAAAATTAGAGGCCCCCTATAGGCCTTAGCAGAAAACATCCATCAAAACTTGTTTTGCCGCCAAGTGCGATGGCTCACACCTGTAATCCCAGCGCTTTGGGAGGCAGAGGCGGATTTATCACTTGAGGCTAGGAGTTCAAGACCAGTCTGGCCAACATGGCAAAACCCCGTCTCTACTAAAATTACAAAAATTAGCCAGGTGTGGTGGTGCATGCCTGTGATCCCAGCTACTCTGGATGTTAAGATATGAGAATCACTTGCACCCTGGAGGCGGAGGTTGTAGTGAGTCGAGATTGCACCACTACACTCTAGCCTGGGTGACAGAGTGAGACTCTGTCTCAAAAAAAAAATTTTTTTTTAATTTTTTTACATTTAAAAAAACTCATTTTGCCTTGTTATTCTACCAACAGATAAAATGAACTTTTTTTAAGAAGTGGGTGGGACAGGACTATTTATAATCTGTTCATCTAAAACATTTAAATAACACAGTAAAATTTACTTCATTATACATCATATAAGCAGTTAAACAAATAAGATTGGGAGTGCAACTCCTGGATTGCAAGGGAGGTGGGAGCCATTGCTGGGTGGTTTCCATCCTACCCAAGTTCCAGCATATTCTCACCATGTGATTTGGGCTAGTGATTTAACCTGTCTGAGGTTTACTTTTTTAATCCCTACCATGGAAATATTTAGAGCACCTCCCTTATATGGTTGTAGGGAAGACAGAAGGATATTGAATGTTTCTACAGCACTTTGCAATGTGCCCTCACACTAAGTGCTCACTGCCATTATTAACTTCTGCAATACAGATTACAGTTGCCTCAACTTGAGGATCATGTCCAGAAAAATTTCAGTATTACACAGTCTTGAGAATATTACCTAAGTCACCCAAACCTAGAACTAAATAGTGTCCTCAGGTGCTACAGAGGTGCTCTCTCATGTCTTACGAAAGGAAGAATCATTGAATCTGTAGGTGTATATCTACAGATATCAAAGAAAGACTGTTATAAAAGGAAAACCTCAATGCAATAAGCTACGAGGAAAAACGTGGTAAAAAACCTGGAATATTCTACTCCCTGAGTCCTACTGCTTGAAAGGCTGAATGAGCTGATCATGGCTGTCTCAAGAGTCAAAAACAAGTATTCAACTTAATCTGTGAAGCCAGCTAGTACATCTGTTTAATTACTAAATTATTAGATTGTTAATTAATCAAGTATTGTACATATCCATCTCTTTTTCATTTTTCTCACTTTCCTCTTGGTCTTGGAGCTCTCTTATTTCCCAGCATAAAGTAGCAAAGCTCATCATAGCTTAATTTAGCCACACAATTATATCACTCTATGAAATATAATAATATAATTTACTTATATATTCAATATTCAGAAAAAAATAAAAACAAGCACTACATGTTCCTCCTAGCCTCTTTTCCTCGAATAAATACCAAAAAGGTGTTGACCCTATAGTCCTGTGGCATCATCAGCTCATATTTAGAACTCTCTAGATCTTTTTGGGCCAACTGTCTTATATTTGAATATGTAGAGCTAGAGGCCCAGAAACAGGTTAAGGTCCAAAACAATTCATCTCATAGTTATATGGACACAAAATTCCAGAATCATTGATTTCTAGAAAATATGAAACTGTTGTCTTGGGTCTTTCTTTTCCATATAGGGTTTCTTTAGAAGAACCATTCAGAAAAATCTCCATCCATCCTATTCCTGTAAATATGAAGGAAAATGTGTCATAGACAAAGTCACGCGAAATCAGTGCCAGGAATGTCGCTTTAAGAAATGCATCTATGTTGGCATGGCAACAGATTGTAAGTAGATCTTCATTTGCTTCATATTCAAGGAATGTTGATTAGGAAAGAGTTTGGTTCAAGGAGATCAACTGGGCAGAAAAGAAAGCAGGAATCCATGTGGACAGAGAAGGGAATACCTTGCTTTCACATATACCCCTCAGGCCCCACATCCAGGCTTGCTCTGAAAGGGAGGTGGGAGCCATTGCTGATGGTTTCCATCCTACTCTGTCGTATCACCTCCTAACTCTCAAAGTATGGATGATGGAGAAGGAAATGCGATTAAATTTTCTCTATCACATTTGCAGGCCTAGTTGTTAGCAACACTGTTTGAGACAGAGATTACAAATGAGAGGTCTGGTCCATTTACCTTGATAAGGCATCATTCTATACACGGTGTTCAAATGGTGTAGAGCCTCAGGGACTAATCCTAATATTTTTCCAAGAGCAAAGAGAGGAATTTATTTTATGGACATTTTTGGAGCTGGGGTGCTGACAGAAAACATCGTGTTCAGAAATTTCCGAAGAATGCGAATTTGAGTGCTATTCCATGAGTCATCTTGCAGTTGGTTGTTTGTCATATTTTTAGCAATAAAGACATTCCGAGCTGAAGTCTTCCTACCCAGTTTTCAAAGTGCTACAGCATATGGTGGTGAGATTAGCCCTTGGGGTCTCTTCTCCCCACACTGTTTGAGGGATTTACACCAGTCATTTTAATTAATCTAATCATAAAAATAAGAATCATGTCATTCAGAATGTGTGGCCTCCCTTTTGCTAGGCATCAGTATTAATGATTTCTACTGGAATAAATTTTTTGCCCATCAGTGAGAGATTCCAACCGTTAGTTAAAAATTAAAAAGAAAAAGAAAGATAAAATATTAAAAAGAAAATACAATGAGGATTTTTCCTGATGAAAGAAATAATCATCACTTACATTTATGTGAGAAATAGAGTTATTTCACTGAGAAAAAAAAAAAAAAAATCTGTGAAATGTTCTGGTTTGCCCATTAAAGAAGAAGGAATGGAGAATCTTTAAAAAGGAAGAAGGTTATGTTAGGGTGTTAGGCTGGAAATCCTGGGTTAATCCCCACCTCTGGCTGAGTATGTTCTTTATCTCTTAAAGGCCTTTAGCCCTTGCTGACAATATGCCTGAAAGGATATGTGAATATGATTGACTTAGAGCCAAATGCTTAGACATGCCACTATGACTGTTATTGTTGAATATCTACTGCAGTGTTTTATTGAGAAGTTTAAGATATGAGTGTCTATGGGGTTTTAAAATGCAGTGTTAATCTAGACTGTATGGAAATAAATTTTGAGTGCCCCTTACTTGCTTGTGAGGGATTCTAAGAGCTCAGGCTTTCTAATCAGAAAAACTTCTGTTCAGGTCCCAGATTTGTCACTTACTCGCTGTGTGACCTTTGGAATTAAGCTGAGATTTTCCTTCTGTGAAATCATTGCCTACCTTGTAGAGTTGTTTTTGAAATTAAATTAGATAATGTCCACCAAATGCAACAGTCCCTGGCACACCGGAAGCATTTGGGAAGCGGCTGTGGGTGTTATTACCCTTCCTCCTCTCCCTTTAGTAACTGAGCCAAAATGACTTAACAGGGCTCATTTATATTTTCCTCATTTGTAAGTGCTCACATGACTTTGACAATCCAATCAAATCTAAATGGTATGCAATTGAATATTCTCTTTAAATTAGAATATTTGAATGGTGGACTAGCTAGGCACCTTGGTTCTCCTTCTCTCGCGATGTCTGCTTTTTTTCTTTTCTTACCAGGTCACACCTTCATCAAGAAATGACTCTAGGACAGTGATGTCATAGAACTGGAGTCAGGAGTCCTGGGTCTTGCCTTGGCCCTGCCATTAACTTGCTATGTGACTTTAGGCAAGTCACGCCCTCTCTGGATCAATTTCTTCTTCTTTCTGTGAAAAGAGAGAGTAGGGCTACATGATCTCTAAGTTCCCTTCCAGCTCTAAAATACTACGACTCTGCGATGTAAAACCTGAGTCTTTCCATTCCACTGATAGTTACTGGTTTTATTTTTGGAAATTGACCACAGAAATCTAGGTTCCTTGTTACCTGCCCTTCTGATTTTCCTTTCACATAAATGGTAGAACTCAGGACTGCATTTACTGAACACTGATATAGTGCATTCTCACACTGAATGCCCTGCGAAGTGGATATTATTGAGCCCATTTTGTTTAGGAAGAAATGAAAGCTCAGAGAACCTAAGGAACTTGCCAGAGGTCACACAGCTAGAATGTGATAATATCAGAATTCAAACCCAAGTCTTTCTAGATTCCAAAGTCTGGGCTCTTTAACGACCAGTGGACCGGGTAGAGAATAATGCACAGTGAGTAGCTGTGAGGCCCAGGTGAGGCCCAGCCACATTCCAATTAGCCCTTAAGGGAGCCATGAAGAATTGGGGTCCTTTCCTCTAAAAAGGGATCACGAGCCTCCTACTTATTGCTCCATAACATTTTTTTTAATTATTCCCATAACTTTAACCTGAAGGTCTCCTTACTAAGAGCCATTTTAGGGGAAGAAGGGAGGACAGAAACCCAGAGTGAATCCAGATCACTGGCTAGACAGGTTTCTCTGTGATGCTGTGGGTAGTATGGATTTCACCTCTCTCTGCTTCGCTCTGTTTTAGAATCACCTTCTGTGGAGCTGGTGTGTGCAGTGTCTAGGTTCTCTGGGGACTTTGTTTTGAAAAGCTGGCCAGCTATGGGGAGTTTGGCTCTAGGGACCCATTGAACAAGACTAGCCAATGGCAGTTTGCTGGTGGAAAGAGAAAATGTCCCATTGTGGCCCAACCCTAAGGACCCACTGAGCCGTCTGTGCATCAGTGATCCCACCTTTGAGGCTCCCGGAAGGGCAGCCTGCTGTGTGTCTTGGGAGTATCTGCGTGCCTTGTCTCATCTTTCCCCTCCTCCCAGTGGTGCTGGATGACAGCAAGAGGCTGGCCAAGAGGAAGCTGATAGAGGAGAACCGGGAGAAGAGACGGCGGGAAGAGCTGCAGAAGTCCATTGGGCACAAGCCAGAACCCACGGACGAGGAATGGGAGCTCATCAAAACAGTCACCGAAGCCCATGTGGCGACCAATGCCCAAGGCAGCCACTGGAAGCAAAAACGGAAATTCCTGGTAAGGTTTCCTTGCACAGAGCGGTATCAGTTACACACCAGCATTTTCTGCCTCAGCGTATTCAGTTCTCATCACCTTGGGACACTGGTGTTATTGCCTCATTTTACTGACTGGAAAACCGTAGCTCTGAGAGGCTGCGGAACTTGCAAAGCTAGGATTTGAGTCTAGGTCTGTGTGAGAATAAAGGCCACTCCTACCATCTACTCTGTGATTTGCTGAATTCTAAAGCAGTTTCTTAGGCCACATTATATCAGTTTGCTTTCACCATCAGAAAGGCCACTCCTGGACCAACTAATCAGTAAAATGCGTAGTCTGCCGTCTTTTACTCTGTGTATCCATTTCTTTCCTCAGATGCCCAGTATGTGCACACCCTAAATTTGATCCCAAACATCCCCTTTAGAATGGCCACTAGAATTAAGTATCCCATACCTCAAGTATATTTTTATGTCAACAGAAGTCAAAAATTTTTAACTTAAGCTAAATGAGCTTCAGTCGAGAAGGGGAGTGGGAATGAGAAAGTAGGGATAGGGTTGGTGGGTAAGAATATGTAGAGGAAAAAGCTCTTCCAGACCCTTGTGATATTGGTGTTTAGTATTCTTATAAAAATTACCAGTTGTGAAAGTTCTTCCCATTCTTTTCTCATGAAGACTTAGTAGTGCTTTGAGATAAGCTGGAATTTCTACCCCCATTTTACAAACATGCAAATCAAGCCCAAGGTCTTAGCCATTTGCCCAAGATCACACTGCTAAAAAGCCAGGCACCAAAGCCAACTTGATGTTCTGGTTCCAAGTCTGGGCTCTCTACCCATCTCGTTGGAAAGACTACCTGCTCCACTAGTTCTGGACCATCTCAGAGACTGACTCTGCTCTTAGTTTATGATGTAAAACGCTTTTAAAGTACCTCCCTGAGGCCTGACAACAGATATTCTGTGGTTTATTTGTGTCCGTAGGGCACCTTAGAGTACTTCCCCATCTGAACAAGAAGATAGACTGGTATAATTATCCTTGTATCGCAACATTCGCATTACAATGAGATAGTGGATCTTTTTCTTAAGGCAATGTAACAACAACCTTAAAGGAAGTTTTGGGAAGAAAAAGCTTAGGCGTAATTCATCTATACTGACACAATTACTTTCATTGTAATGAAACAATAGTGCCAGCACTTTGTTGATGGCTTTCACTAACAGCAATGTTAGCAAATACTTAACTGGCCTTTACCATATGCCAGGTACTATTCTAAGTGCTTTTCATTCGTTAACTTCCTATACCAATCCTGTAGGTAGATGTGGTTAATATCTCCATTTTACAGAAGAGAGAACTAAGGCAGAGAAGTTGAGGAAACTTGCCCAAGCTCCCACAACTAGTAAATAGTGGTGATGGAGGCAGCCAGCTCCAGGACCTATGCCTCTGCTCACTACCCTATGCAATCTTGGCACCTGCACAAATCCAAAAAGCCTCTGAAAGATCCAAGCTCTTTAGAGGAGCAGCCTCTCAGTCCCTTGATCTTGCCTCTTTACCCCCACCCTGGTATTTCTACCAGAAAATTCACAAGCACTAATTCTGGATTGATAGACCAATTCTGATGCAATACACTCGGGGCATAACAAGATAGAGTCCTACCTAATTGCAAACCTAAATCCATCCTTCTCCCAAATGTGTCAGCCGTAAATGGACATTGCAGAAACCACTTCCAGGCCTGGCATTGTCTCCTGATTTCAAGTAGTGGACAAGCTGAATTCCAAGTAAGGTAGAAGATTTGAACTACATCCTGGACTTCTCCTGGGAATTTTATACTTTCATTGTCTTTACTCCCCATAGAGAATGGACAGTAGTCTAACTAAACTAGTTTCAGTAGTTACTAAGGTGCTTCTTTCCAGACTTTAAAGATTTGTTCTTTTATTTAAGAAGCAATTATTGAGCCACTACTATGGGCCAGGAAGTGACTAAGTCAGCCACATGCCTGTAGAGGGAGACAGACAATAAGAGCTAAACAAGCAAAATAAATGCAGGTAGTAAACAGTGTGATGGGGCCAAGAGTTCCTGAACTGGAAGTGGGGACAGACTTCATTTCTCTGAACATGGTGGTCAGAAGAAGCATCTCTGAAGAGGTGACATTGTGCTATGTCTGGAAGCTGAGAAACTACCCTATAAAGCAAAATATAATCAAAAAATCTTCATGCTATGTGGTCTCTTCAGCAAAGACAGCACAATATCTAGTCATTAGAACCAGTCTTGATGTCTGCACTGATCATTTAAAGGCTCCTAACTGTTCATCAGCCTGACCATCTATGGAAAGAATCTATGGTACAGAATGATTTGTCGTTAGTTTTTTTGTCAGAACCATGAGATTACCCATGCACAAGAGAGTTTTCTTCTCCTTGTAGGGTTGACATGAAATGTATCTTTTTAGATCTTTAATCTATTCAAGAAATTGTCCCTCTTGATTGAAATGTAAATAAGTTTCTCCAAGTCATATTTCCCTAGAGGGTTACTGGGAGAGATCAGCACTCCTCCACTGTCCTGTCTGTCTCTGCAGTGAACTTCATTTCTGTCAGCCAGTCCCCTCCTGTGCCTGGGAACACCCCTGCATCTGCTCACAGGAGGACAGTGTTCCATTCAGCCTCCACACTTGAGTATCTATGCTATGTGTGAATGAGACGTGGTAGCTTTTCTCCAAGATGGCTGCCATCACATTATTTCTCCTCCCTGTATACAGAGCCCATTGTCTCCCAGAGAGGGGTAGAGTCTGTTCCTCTCTCTCCCCTTGAATCTAGGCTGGTATGTGATGCCTTTAAACAGTGCATTTTGGCAGAATTGAAACTGAAGTTACTTCTAAGGTTGGGTCATAAGAAGCCTTACAGTTTCCACTTGAGTCTCTTGGGGGAGAGAAGCTACCTGGTCTCTCATAGCAGTTGGCTATATACTGTATTTAAAAAAAAAAAAAAGAAGTCCAACTACTCTGAGACCACCAGGCAGTGAGGAATCCCAAGCTAGCCATGTAAAAAGGCCACACAGGAGGAGAAATTCCCAACCAGCCCAGGGACCAGAAACGGGAGTAAAAAGCCTTCATGTGACACCAGCCTCTACTGCCATTTGATGGTAGCTGCATGAGGACCCCCTAGTGAGAACCTCCTGGCCGTGCCCATCAATCCCGAGAACTCTGAAAGAAAATAAATAATCACTGTCTTAAGCCACAAAGTTGGGGGGTAGTTTGTTACACAGCAATAAATAACCAGAACAGAACTCAATCAATATTTGTTAAACTTGCACATACAGTTCCACTCACCCATCCTTGGAGACAGTACAGTTAAGCCCTGTGTCTCAGCCAGTTTACATAATTACACATACTCCTCGCAGAAAGCTGACTCCAACTGAGTATTTATGTTCAGGGTGAAAATTTCACTCTTTTGAGTAGTGAATTCGTCCTGCAAGGACATTAAGAATTTTTACTTAAAGACAGCTTCACTAAATGATATTAATGTGCTGAAAGTTATTGTGCACCGAACAGGCTTTTGCACATTAGGATTTGCATCTCCTGTGTGCCGATACCCCTTTTTCTGTGCTTGCAACACTGCTACATGTTATTTATTTTTTATGTATCGATGTCCCATCTTGTCCTGAAAAAGAATTTGAGGAGGCCTATCATGTTAATAATAGTTTAAAAATATGTCATATGGCATTACATGTTGTCATTAAAGCCAAAAGTATTCATTTATCTAGAATGGGTAAGTACCTTATTCCCTAAAAGGAACTACTGAAATAGTTTTAAGTCTAAGACTAGGACTCATTTTCACTCTAAGACCAGCATTCAAGTCAGAAATAGAGACAGGGCTGGGCACAGTGGCTCATGCCTGTAATCCCAGCACTTTGGGAGGCCAAGGTGGGTGGATTGCTTGAGCCCAGGAGTGCAAGTCCAGCCTGGGCAACATAGGGAGACCCCCATCTCTACAAAAAATAAACAAATTTAGCCAGGCTTGATGATGCTCACTTGTGGTCCTCACTACTCAGGAGGCTGAGCTAAATGAAAACAGAGTAAAGCCCTGTCTCAAAATAAAAAAAGAAAGCAAGCAAAGCAAGAAAGAGAAAAGAAGGAATGAAGGAAGGAAAGAAGGAGAGAGGGAGGGAAGGAAGGAAGGAAGGAAGGAAAGGAAGGAAGGAAGGAAGGAAAGAGGGAGGAAAGGAAGGAAGGAAAAAGGAAAGAGGGAGGGAAGGAAGGAAGGAAGGAAAGAGGGAGGGAAGGAAGGAAGGAAGGAAGGAAGGAAAGAGGGAGGGAAGGAAGGAAGGAAGGAAGGAAGGAAGGAAGGAAGGAAGGAAGGAAGGAAGGAAAGGAGGGACGGAGGGAGGGAAGGAAGGAAGGAAGGAAGAAAGGGAGGGAGGGAAGGAAAAGAGAAAAAAAACACAGTGATTTGGTCTAGATTTTAAATCTATATTTGGGTCTGAGAAAATTAGAGTCTTTGGCAAATGAAGAACTTTGCAAAAGCCATTAAGATTTTCATAATAAATCTAAAGCCACTCTTTAAAGCTTCTCCCAAAAGCATTTAAATCATATAATTTTCTAGTTTTCTCCAATATACTCAAATCTCTGAGGCTACAGAAATGCCTAATTTCACCACCAACAATTCATGTGTGATGACAGTGAGGATGAAAAGCAGAGGCAGGCTCAGAAGAGAACAAGCAGCATCTGATGCCAAACAAGGGAAAGCGGTCTCTCCACCAAGGGTAGCTCACTTCTAGACCTCCAGCAGCAGCCCCTGACAGCAGCAATCTTGTCTACTGACATCACTTATTATTGTCTGCTGACATTGTATCATTATTCTGCTCCCTTAGTTTTCATGCCAAGTTGTAGCTTTGGGTGAATCTCTACTCAAGTATAAAATGTGACCTTTAGGATCAGGGGAGCCCTTTTCTACTCTTCCCCTGGCAGAGATACTGCCTGATTTCACACACTCTACTGGGGTAGCTTCAGACAAGGGGCATAAGCAGAAGCGTCAGACAGGGTGG